CGCTCTTGCTCAGGCTGGTCTCGAACTCCTGAGCTCAAACAATCCGCCCACCTCGGCCTCCCAGAGTGCTAGGATTACAGGCGTGAGCCACCGTGCCCAGCCTAAAAAATATATTATTTTAAGCAGTTTGCGCCCGGCTTCCTTCTTTGGATCACATCTTGTGCATCTCATCCGCCCCTCGTTGTTTGTTTTTCCGGTCTCCGGTGTGGGGATATGTGGTGGTGTCAGATTTTCTGCTCTTCTATAAACAGGATGGCAATCGTCCCCGGACGTCTCTGTGCCCACACCGGGTGGCATTTGCAGGATCAGCTCCTCGGAGTGGGTGGCTGAGCACCCACAGTCTGGAAGGTCAATGTCAAGGTGCCCTGCGCTGTGCTCACCTCATCCTGATGCCCAGATCAACCCCATCCTGCAGGCTGCACCCCCACTCCTTCCACCTTCCACTCCCCAAGTCAGAGCCAACACCCCCTCCCCAAATTGTTACTGATTCATTTTGACCCCCAAAACGTGACAGAGCAATGAAGACAGCCTCTGAGCAGAGGACGGGCACCTGCCTGATGCCACCCACCCAGGATGGCTGATTTTTCCCCGGCTGGGCCTCCGTTTCCCATCTGTAAATGGGGACTGAGGACAGGAACTCTCCTCTTGAGGGACAGCAACATGCTCTGCAAACTGGAAAGTGGGTGAGTTTCATTTTAAATGTGTTATGTTTTGAACTATTTGTGACCTAGTTCCTTATACTTATTCAATTTTATAAAGAGGAATAAATTATCAGGTTTCAACGGGCTGTGAGATTAAAGGGAAGTCAGGAGGTGGCACATGCTGCTCTCCAACAAAATGGCTCGGGTCATCTACTCATTACTGTCAGTGTAGATGCAGGCTTCTCCACTTCCCACCGTTGACGCGGGGTCGGGGGTATCATTCTCTGTGGTGGGGGCCATCCTGTGCACTGGACGGTGTTGAGCAGCGTCTCTGGTCTCCACCCACTCAATACCAGTAGCAACCCCTCCCTCAAGTTGTGACAACCAAAACTGTGTATTCAGACTTTGCCAAGTATGACAGAGCGGGGGGGGGCAAAATCACCAGGAATGAGAACCACTCACATATAGAATTAAGGGATGGAACTAAAATAGTATTTGGCTATTAATAGTCATAGTACTTGCTTGGCAGGAGGAGTCAATAGTATTTTCCCATAGTCACTGAATTTAGTTAACTGATTAAAATTTAGTTAATTTGATTCGATTCCAGGCCGGCCTCTGTGTGACCTTGGGCAAGTGACTCAGCCACTCTGACCCTCGGGATCTTCGTCTGTGAAAAGGGGACACGGGGAGGAGCCAGCGCTCGGGACCCGAGCACGCGGCCCAAGCTGGGCGAACGCGGGTCGCGCAGACGGAGACAGCGCCCCCAGCGGCCCCCCGCGCGCCTGCGCCACCGCCCGGGGAGATTTAAAAAGGAAGCCGCAGCCGCACCTGCGCCCCCTGTACCTAGACCCGAGCGCCAGACGCGCCCGCGCACGCAGGCCGGCCGGCACGCGCACGCACGCACGTGGCTCGGCCCGCGCGCACTCACCACTGAGGGGGGCGGGGCCGGCGCAGGGACTTCACTTCCCAGGGTGCCCCACGGCCACGCCGGGAGCCGCTGACGAGGAAGCGTTACTCGCGGCGGTCGCGACTGCGCCGGCGCGGACACCGGCGCACGCACGCACGTACGCAGGGCGCGCCCCTAGCCCCGCCCCCGGAGGCCCCGTGCGGGAGCGCGCCCGGGCGTGCGCAGGGGCGGCGGCGCGGCGGCGCGAGGACGCGCGGTGACCGTTGGCGCTGAGGGGAGGAGGCAGCAGCCGCCGCCGCCGCCGCCGTTGCGCAGATCCGGGCCGCGGCTGTGGGGAGGGCGACGGCGCGGGTGACCTTCCGGAGGCGGGAGTGAGTGAGGAGGCCCGGGAACGCCGAGCGCCGCCGCCGCCGCCGCCATGAACAACTCGGGCGCCGATGAGAT